AAAAAAAAAAAAAAAAAAAAAAAATTTTTTTTTTTATTATCATTATATCATATTATAAATAATAATAACAATAATAATAATAATAATAAATAATAACAACAACAACAATAATAATAATAATATAATATAATATAATATAATATAATATAATATAGTAATCTTTTATATAATTCTTTTTTAGTTTTTTGAGTCACAACCTTAATTTATTTGTTATACATGGAATTTTTGGGATCGATATTATTATTATTTGGGTTTTGTCATCATCATTGTAATTAAATTATTTAAGTGTGACATTGTGACATGCTATGATAAATCACAAACCTATAATGATCGGGATAATTAATAAGTAATATAAACCATGTATATAAACTTGAGAATTATATAAAAAAGAAGAAAGAAGGGAAAAACGAGAAATCGAACAAGAATACATGAAATATTCCCAAAAAAACCTGTTATTTAAATAATAATAATAATATATATATATATATATAATAATAGTAATAAATTGTATAATACTCTTGTGTGACTAATTATAATAAAAGTATTAAAAATTTAAAAAAAAAAAATTTTTATTTTTAAATAAAAAGAAAAAAGAAATAATATTAAACACAGCCTTTTTTTTAATGATAACAAGATATTACATATGATGTCATTTTAATAATTAAAGTTTAACTAATTACATTAGATTCAACGATCATATGACATATGACATATGACCTATGCAAAACTGTTTTTATTCAAAGTTAGTAAAACCATTATAATATATTATTAAAAAAAATTAAATAGGAATATCGGTTATTCACACGTCCCAGTCGTCCCACATATTATTTGAAACATATGATGACCTTTAAATGTGTTCAAACTTCGTTGTTTTGCGTCAACTATTATCATCTGTCCAAACAAATCCAAATCAACAAAATAAGAGGATTTTTTTAATCGGCAAAATTTATGAACGCATTACCGCGCACACTACCAAGTAAAAAATGTAAAGTCGATGCCTGCATTTCTAATTTGTGGCTCGGGAGAATCAGATGTCCAAAATAAGATTTATCAACAATCAATAGCCAAAATTGATTTCTAGAAATTGTGAGGATTTACAGTATCTACAATATCGGGACGCGTTATATGCTTGAATCAAGTTTTGTGTTTAAAACTCTAATATTCTTTTTTTTAAAAGATTTTAGTGGTTTCTTCATATATTTTTCCTATTATAGATATAAAATGTAAAAGTACACTAGATTGACCGAATAAGTTATTAACTAAAGATTAAAAAAGTATGACGATACTTGTACATCATTCATTCGGTCATAACCGACCGAAATAAAAATTTGTATTTTTGAATTCAGGGGAAAAGAAGATTCAAAAAAAGTAAAGTAAAGCAAAAACGCAAAAACGCAAAACAAAAGCAAAAAGCAATTTTCTTATTGAATATCTTTCTAGGGGGGGAATTGATAATTGATATCTCACTCCATAAAATGTTCTCACAACTTTTCAAGAGTTACGTTACTCTAAGAAATTATTTAAAAAAAAAAAAAAAAAAAAAAAAATCTCCCACATTATGTGAACGCCGATGATTTTTTTTAGTTACTATCACTGTACCAGATTAATAAATTAATATAATCTTTTTTAAACAATGAATATTTACTATTCAATAAAAAAAAACCAGCCAAAATTCCTTTTATGAATTGTGTTATATCAGATAAGAAACAAATTCGGGGAAGAATATAAATACATAAAGTTGTTTCTTTTTTTTTAAAAAAAAAAAAAATTTTGATTTAAAAATTAATTAAATTTTATTTTATTTGTTTAATTTAAACGCGTTCATGATTTACGATTGATGATGATTTATGTCTCAATTGGTCTATTTCCTAGGGGTTAATTTCATTGTGTCCTTCATAATAGTGAGAAATCTAAGTAATAATATGTATTAAACCTATCACAATTTAATAAACAAAAATGTGCCGATTTTTTCCGACCAAATTGACTTTGAAATTTTATTCAAATCACGGTCAATTCCGATTTGATAAAAAAAATTTTTTTTTTTTTTTAAAACAAATATTTATTTTATTTGTTATCAACAAAAAAATTGTCCATTCATGGAATATAATCGGAAACTATTATCTAGGAATTTTTGAATTGCTTAAAAAACCAAAATCCAGATTCTTCGATTCCGGGGACCTGCCAAATAAATGCTAATTGTGTACTAATATTTAGATTATTCTAATTGGATGATGTGAGACTCCCCTCTCACAATAATAATAATAAAACATTTAATTTGAAAGTGAATATTAAAAGGAATATTGATAACAGAGATGCATTTTATTGTACACTTTAGTACACTTTAGTACACTTACACTTTAACGACAATAAAAAAGTACTTTTATTTTTATTTTTTTGAAATTCTAATTGAAAAGCTGAAACACTTAGGTAAAAAAAAAAAAAAAAAAAAANCTAGGAATTTTTGAATTGCTTAAAAAACCAAAATCCAGATTCTTCGATTCCGGGGACCTGCCAAATAAATGCTAATTGTGTACTAATATTTAGATTATTCTAATTGGATGATGTGAGACTCCCCTCTCACAATAATAATAATAAAACATTTAATTTGAAAGTGAATATTAAAAGGAATATTGATAACAGAGATGCATTTTATTGTACACTTTAGTACACTTTAGTACACTTACACTTTAAAAAAAAAAAAAAAAAAAAAAAATTTTTTTTTTTATGTAGCCGGAATCTCACAGATAAAATTCCGGAAAATTTGCCAAAATCCGGAAACTCGACCTCACATGGTAACTTATCCTCACATGGAAATTCTCTAATGTCACACGAAGCCTTTTGGCACATAAATCATAAATTGTGTGACAACAATTTATGCTAAAATTTTTTCATAATTTAAAAATATTTGAACTACATATAATAATATGATAAACAAAAAAGCAATCCAATAGGTATGTATTTCTTAATTATTTTTAAAAAAAATGAATAAAAAAACTGGTTAAATAACTAGAATTATATACTAAATTGTGCTCCGTGTGTTTTGTTGTGATTGTACTTTTATTTCCGTATGTCGTTCGTATTAGGTCGCGTGTGTTTTGTAGATTACACGTTTAATACTTTACCTTTATATAATGATTACTTACTCTTCACTAAATGAATATTAAAAAATCTATTATTCCTATTATTTCTAAATTTATTAAAAATCAAGAATAATAACAAGATTTTTTTTTTCAATTTCGTAAAAAATTGCACATTTCATTCAAAAAAAATAAAAAATTCCTTTTTTTTTTTTTTTTCCTTCAAAATTTTTTCGATTGTTATCTAGATAACGTTCATCATTATTTACGAAATTTTTTTTTTTTCATATAACTTTACTTTACATTGTATGAATAAAAGAAAATCAAAAAATATATACATATATATTTTTTTAGATTTGTTTACCAAAAATATTCGAAGATCATGTATGAAAAGCAAAACATGATATTTTGAAAACGAAAGAATTATGTGGGGAATGAGCATTTAAGGTATTTTGTAATCGCAAATTTGGAAATCTTATAATCGTATGATATTAAAATTAAACGTCACACCATGCATGTACTCATTTTCGCGTTTCGCAGTGAAACTTTAATCACAGCGTGTAACAAACTTTATTTCTCTTTAAACAGGTCCATTCACAAGTTTATTCTTAATTTCTTTTTAAAAAATTTTTTAAGTTTACATAATTCTTAAGTTATTTTCAAGGGGTACCTCGTACAAATTGTACAAATTTTGACACGGAAAAAGAAGTGTTAATCTTGTAATCTTGTACGATGGGTTCGTGCGTACGCTACCTTTTTCAGTCACTGGTTTTTTTTTTTTTTTTTTAAACCGGAGTTCTAATTTGAACTCACATGTAGTAACTTTTGTTGATAAATTTATCATTAATCTTGCAGATGTGTGTGAAAATCAGTTTTAAAAAGAGATGGGAAGATCAGTTTTATGTATATGTTATTCCTTATTTCTATGGATTTTTATGGGTTTTTATGGATTTTTATGGATTTATGGATCTTTTTTTTTTCAAATTCTGGTCTAATGTTTGTTTAAACCAAAATAGAAAAAAAAATCATATCACAAAAATAATACGTAACATTAATAATACGTAAACATTAATAAATTACAGGTAATAATACGTAACATTAATAAAATTACAGGTAATGAAAAAAAAAAAGACGTGAGAATAATTTAAGTTGAAAAGATAGTAAAGATAATCTATTTATTTACTGAAATTAACAATATTGTAAATTATGTAAATTATATTATATGAATATTATGTAAATTATTGTATATTTGTAAATTTATGTAAATTATTATAAATTTGTAAATTACATGTATGTATGTATGTATATATATATATTATCAATGTATATATATATATATATTATCAATGTATGTATATATATATATGATCAATGTATGTATATATATATGATCAATGTATGTATATATATATATTATCAATGTATGCTTTTATATATATATATATATATTATATGATCAATGTATGCTTATATATATATATTATCAATCAATGTATGATTATATAGTCTGTTATGTTTATTATTATTCTTATCTGTTTATTATTATGTATATTATTTATGTTATATTATGTACTTATTTTTTTTCACATTGTTTATAAATTTAAAGTTTTTTTTTTTTTTTTTTTTT